TACTTAGATATTCAGACAATATTTGCAGTGTGCTAAATAAATTTTAACAATCCAACGACAAGAACTCATCTACAGGACACATACCATATACACACACACAAAGAAAATAAGCAGAATTTTGAGGGGTTTTTTCTGTGTCATCTATTAAAGTTGGGGATTTTGAATCAGTGGGTTGTGCCACACATCAAATGTTTTGAAAACTGAATTGCTAGAAAAGTTATTTTTATTTTCATTCATAATTTGTTATATCCACGGACCTATTAAGGATGCTGTATACGTTTTTGATATTGATTTTCTAAACTGATGTTATCATATAAAATATTTACTGAACCACACAAAAGCTATATATTGATGGAAAGCCTGTTTCACACTGGATATGAAATCGACAAGATAGTGTGTGTAGTCACGTGATCTCTGTGTAAACACAGAAAGCCATTTTCGGTAAAAAATAATTGAACCAATGAATAAACAAATTTAGTAGAACATTCGCAACAAAACAGTTTTTTCAGATGACGCTCACCACCATTCTGCGTTGATTGAGATATATATCTACATGATAGTTGGAGAAGAAATAATATATTTAGCTATCTTGAAAAAATAATGTGATCTGGTTCTTTCTGGTATTCAGAAATTAGAACGTGATTTTGAAACAAATAGGAAAATACAAGAATTCAAGAGCCGCTTGAGAGGGAACATATCAAAGAGTATCTGAGCGAAAAATTAGTATAATGCATCCACTGTAACTCAAGATCAAATGCCTGCAGTTGCCGTAAATCACTGATTTGTTTAACTGAGAAAACGGCAAAAACAACTTAGCAGCTAACTCAAAATCTGTTTGTCACTTGGATCATAACAAACTCATAACGACTAGTTATGGTATCTGTCTGTCATAATCACGTAGATGTGTGGATATACATGGCGCAATTGGTTATAAAGTACAAAATTATGGTTCCAAATCCAAATCCAATAGGAAACAGTGTTTCACCGTGAGATAAAGCCGCGCCAAAGTGACGTCATGATTTACATATTCATTATTAAGTTGTGGGAGGAAATGCTAATTTTCTGAATGACTCATTACCATACATTGCCCTACATGGAAGGTAATTCTCTTGCTCTGCTGAACCAGTAACCGTGGCTGAACGCCCCACCAGAGTCAACTAGTTTTCTTTCCAAGATTTGTTTTTACCACGCGAGATGTCTTGATGAAGATCTGTATTATCTGATTTGAATGGCAATGACGGGGGAGAAGTCACAGCGAGTGTTGAACTGAATCGAGAGATTCGAGCTTGGGTTTAAAGTTGTCTGTCGATAGGACAGTGATTTTTAGTTTGTTTGCGCAGTTATTATTTTGTAATAACCTGTTCTCCATAAATCATTTTTTCCGTTTTTTTTTTAGTTCCCAAAACTGCTGCCACAAAATTAGTGTGAAGATTCTTTTTTCATCTTCAAAGTGTAATACATAGTACCGGAACAACCGCTGGCAATGACTACTGTCGGTATTTTACAATCAGTTCACTTTCTATATCAGGTATGACAAATCTAATATCATTGAATCCGTCAAGTTATTTATTGAGAAAGTGAAGATTAAAAAAAAATAAAACAAGGATGCTCACACACAGACGTGTACGTTTTCTTTTACACCTGCTTGTCTCAAGCTTTACGTGTGAATGTATCTTAATGGCCAAATGTTTCATTGTGGTTGGGGTGTCAACGAGTCCATGACATGTAATTTGGTCACGAAAACTAAGTCTGCCATGTGCTCAAATTTTCTACCTCCATGGTCTGATTGATTAAATCATCATAATAATTGCTTTACATACTGTTGACGCTCTTCTCCAAATTTTCTTTGGATTTGTTTTCTTTTGCCCTTGTTTCATAGTGTTGAAGAGCGAGAATTTCTCCGAAATTTAATTTGTGGACGATCGTAAATGGAATGCATGTATGATTGAAGTGTAACTTGTACTGAAT